CGGAGTCCCCACTCACTGGCACTGACACTGGTGTCTGTGGGAGGCCATTCACTGCCATGGTACCCCCCCAGTCTCAGGAGGTGCCAGTTGTTCATGGTGAAATAGTACCATATTTGCATGCATGCCATATACCTTTTCCCCCAAAAGTTACCTTTACAAAATTGAGATGAATGTTATAAGCAGGGAAGCTAATTTCTGTGCCCGAATGGAAGCACAGACTTCAGAATGGCTGCTGGTGCTGTGCTCTTCCCCCAGCCATCATGCAGCAGAGGCAGTTCTTAATTGTCAGAGCTAGAATTTTAACTTTCTCAGTAGCTTTTGCCAATTTGGCAGCAGCTTTGAGGGAGTTAAAGCCCTAACTTTTGGCTGAGCAGTCAGGGAAGGATAGGTGACTCTGAAAAACAGGCTTTGGAAAAATCTTTTTTCTTTTCATTCTGCCTTCCCAAAACAAGATGAATCTTATTTGGGGGAATGTGTGATATACAGGAATATACAGCACACCTCTTGAGACATTGTTTAAACTCAATTGTTTCCTTTTGTGGCATATCATATTATTAAATAGATCTATTAAATAAATCATATTATTATTTGTTGTTGTAGCACCAAGAAGTTCTGGTCTTGTACTAAGACCTCAGTGCAATAGGTGCTTATGTTCCTTTCTTAAAGAGGTTGTTTTGTATATTCTACATGCCTTTGCACTACCTAGCGTTGTCAAGAGTTTATTCCTGACAGCCTAGAGGAGTCATTTATAACCAGCAATGATGAAACATTACACAACATTAATATATTTAATAGAACATTTAAGTGATGTATTAGCATTGAAATGTCAAATGAGCTTTAGCTAAAGCACCCCCACCTCCATCTTGTAGCGCGGGGATAATGAATGCATGAGACACGGAAGCTGCTGGAGCTTGCTAATTAGCACGCTCCAGCAGACAGAATTAATGGAGTCTGCCCTGATGCGCTGTAATTACAGTGCATTGGAGCACTGTCCCTGCACATCTACAGGCACTCCTTAAGTTTCCAGTTTTTATTGTTGCAAATTCTGGAAATGCTGTCGTTAAAATTGGATCTAGAAAAATAATTCTTAAGGTGCTTTTCACTTATAGTCTTACCTCAATCCTGGGTAAGCTTTTTGAGAGAATTATCCTGGCGCATGTCTATGAGGGGCCAGAAGGGGAGGTTATGCTTAGGGGCAACCAATATGGGTTCATTAGAGGCAGGTCCTGTCAGACCAACCTGGTGGCCTTCTGTGACCAGGTCACAAAATCCTCAGACGCAGGGGTAGCAGTGGATGTAGTCTTTCTGGACTTCAGGAAGGCCTTCGACACTGTCTCTCACCCCATTCTCATAAAAAAATTAGGGGACTGTGGCGTCAACACCTACACAGTCAAATGGGTCGCTAACTGGCTGGAGGGCCGCACCCAGAGAGTGGTGGTGGACGGGTCATTTTTGACCTGGAGGGATGTGGGCAGTGGGGTCCACCAGGGCTCGGTCCTCGGACCTGCGCTGTTCAACATCTTCATCAGTGACTTGGACAAAGGAGTAAAAAGCACCCTGTTCAAATTTGCTGATGACACTAAGATGTGGGGGGAAGTGGGCATGTGAGAAGGGAGGAATAGGCTGCAATTGGACCTGGGGAACTCCATTCTTGTCAGTTCAGAGGCAGAAAAGGATGTTGGAGTCATTATAGACTCCAAAATGAACATGGGATAACAGTGTGGAGATGCAGTCAGGAAGGCCAACCGCACCTTGTCATGCATCCACAGATGCACCTCGAGCAGGTCCAAGGAGGTGATCCTCCCCCTCTGTGCGGCACTGGTCAGGTCGCAGTTGGAGTACTCTTGGCTCATATTCAGTTTATTGTCCAGTGTAACCTCCATATCCCTTTCTGCAGAGCTGCTGCCCAGCCAGTCAGTCCCCAGTCAGTAGTAGGGACATATCCAGTGTGCCACCTTGGTTGATACACTGATTGGAAATTGGCCATAGTGAAATACACACATGGCAAGCCCTTGAAAAAAGGAAGAAAACTATCTTTTTCAGTAGCATGTGTGGTCCCCTTGTGTATTCCACCCTCTGGTCTCCATCCTTTGTACTTCAGATTCTTACATGTTCTGGAAGACATGTAGAGTAACACAGTAGAGAAGGAACTGGAGGGGTGGTTGGCCCTGCACTTTGTACTGTCAGTACAATGCAGAAGCAGAGCATATGCACAGATCACGTCATGGGTAACTGGTGCCATCTGACCGAGGGTGGGGTTCCCCCCGCAACCAATCTCGCTGACTGGGGGTGGGAGGCGCCCTGAAGTGCCAATGGCACTTGCTCCCAGAAGTGCCAGCAGCCCCCATTCCCCTGCCAGTGTTCACAGGGGAGGCACCGGCTCTGCCACCTGCCTCTACGCGTAAGCAGGGCGGCCTGTTGGGGGGTGCACACGTACCCCCTCTGTATTGCCACTGGATCACATGGACACCACACTGTACCTAGACTCCTGGCAACCCCAGGCAAACTTTTAGTATCAGGCCCCACTTCACCAGAGAGAATTACGATAATAAAAAATTATCATTTTGGGGCCTCTTTTCTGTCTGGGCCCTGGGCTGCCGCCTGGTTCACCCATGCCTGTGCCTGGCCCTGCATGGACACAACTAGCAAAATTAATCTGGTCTCTGGGCATAGAGCATGTGAATCCAGAGTAGAACATGCAGTGACATCACATGTGAAATAACTTGAGTAACTATGGGAGTAAGTAACTTTTCTTTGCTGTGCTAAATTCACTTAATGTTTCTGTTCCACAGGTCTTATTGATGGTTATGCAGACGAAAAAGCATTTCTGGAAAAACATATCCAGGAAAAAATAGATGTAATAGACCATCTTGAGCAAGAGCTGCTCTGTACAGGTAACAAATTGCAGGAACTAGAGGCTGAGCGACAGCAGATTCAGGAGGAAAAGGAGTTACTCTGCAGACAGAAGGATGCCATGAAAGCAGGTGCAAGATCTGCAGAACAGCGTACGTACTCATCAGAATCTTTCTGTGAGGTTCTCTCATATTTCGCTATTGAACTTCTAATACATCTGCAGAAGCCTTGGCTACCATGTTTCTTTTTTATATTCTTCATAGAAAAACACAACATGGCCAACATTTCATACTTGAGCAACTGTTGGTGCCAAACCCTGTATTTAGCCATCTAAACAAAACTAGTTAATATTCAGATTTCAGACCAATCACAGCCGCTAGTAAAGCCAGTAAATAGCTGTTGTTGCTTAGTAGCTTTGAAAAAGTGGTTACTTTCATTTACCTGCCCAAATTTAGCCTTAAGTGCTGACTCTAGAGAGATCCAAATATGGAAGTGATGGCCTATATATGCTCCTTCTAAGAACAGTTACAGAGATGTGCTACCATAGTTTCCTTAGGAAAACCTATTCAGGTACACTGGATTGCTATACATGCTCATTTAGGCATATGATAAGGCACTGAGGAAGGCTTCCTCACAGAATTCCTTTCAGGGACTCAGTGGTAGGGTAGAATGCAAAAAAGATTGCATGAAAAGAAAAAGGCATTATCTCAACATAACCAATATTACTCACTCAGCACTCCCAAAATAAATTATGTACTCTGGAGAAAAAATATCTTTCAACCTTGAAGAGAGACCTTCTATTGTTTATCACAAGGAAGGAACACTCCCCAGTAGTTTACTCAACAAATGTTTACTTTTATAGAAGTAAATCCTCCTTCAACAAAAAAACTAAATATCTTTGATTTAATATTTGTTAAGAGGGAAAAATTAGGGCAGTAATGTTTAAACAGTGCTGATCTCTTGGTAATTAGTGCTGGGAATGGAGTATCATATGCTAACATTTTTATTTTGTGACCAAGAGTTTATGATCATTGCAAATACTAAAGATCTTTAGAACATTTCTTGTGAACATGTATTCAAACTATGGTTCAGTTGTAAACTATACCATCCATGATCTGTTTGCAATCTCAACCTCCTATAGTTATGTAACAGATACTGTTAGTAGCAATCTGTTAATTCCTATACTGCAGCAAAGCAATCCCAGTTTACAATTTTGGTAGTTTTATATACCTTATAAAATGACTTGGAAATATAAAAATGTGTTTTATAATTATGGAGAAAAAGTACATATATATCATTCATACCAGAATAACACAACACATTCCTTGAGTTATCACTACAACTTTGTCATTAAATGCCACATCCTCTCTTTCAGCTTCATTTTCTTTTACATTATTGCACCATGATAAAACTGTAGCTGGCATGTGAATTACTTTGCTTCTCTCTCTTTTTTTTTTCTATTTTCCTAGGCCTAGTAGATGCTGCAGTCGATGCAGCTCCCCAAGCAGGTGTGTTTGTATATTGCATGGCCAATCTTTAATTGGGTGGCAGACTTGCATACTGACATTTATTAATCAAGGATTTGGGCTTTCAGCTTATTGACCTTAATTCTTACTGGCCTGCAGCTTTGATATTATATTTTACACTCACATTTTTCCTTTTTGATAATGTAATCTCTTATTATTTCTAAGCACAATATATTAATATAGATTTAATAAGCACATCCATTCATAACCATCATCTTATTCACCTTTGAATTGCAAGAGTTCAGGTGGTTTTGGAAGTTCTTAATAGCCTTTTGATCATTATTAACTTGTAAATATAATTAAAATAATCAGTTTTTTACTAAATATTGTTTTATATTGATATGTACTACTTACCTAAAGAGACAAAATTTGGTTAAATATGATGTAAGATGATGGTGTCCAAAGGATCTCTCTTGGGTAGCAAAAGAAATTGAACTTATGTGATGGCTTTCCTTTACTATATCCAGTATCAATAGTTTTTGAGAGATTTTTCCGAAATTAATTTCACTTCTTAGTCTTGGGTCTTACCTCAAGGGATGCAAAAGTTTGGTGACATGGCCCTTGAAGTATAAACCTTAAGAATCTTGTTAGAATGTATTTGAGCTGTATCATATGTGCTTCCCAACCCTCTATGAGGAGAAAAAAATCAAAACTGGGGATCTATAAAAACCACTGCTTTTTGAAAGCTCCAGTTACAGGTCAGTAATTTTCTTCTCTGTTTTGTAATCTGATTGAGTGACGCCTTTCAGTAATTCCCTTCAAAATATAGCATATACATTTAACATACATATAACAATTGGGAGTAGATTAATCTTTTAGTAAAGGGGATGAGAAGATGGTTGGGTTTTCCATACCTAGCTATAAAGCTTTGGACCCTCTTCAGTTCTTCCAGGAACCTATATATTTTCCTACATTGTACCAGTCAAACATATTTATATTAATATGAAACTTGGACAATAAAGTTATACAACTCTTCTCTAATAGCCTGGCAAAGAAAATAACAGTATTCTAGTAGTTTCTTTTTAGGATTTAATATGGCTTTGGGGGTATTGCGAGTATTTTTATGTGGAAAGTACTAGATTTAAAAAAAAATTGTAAAACCCAAGCCTATTCACATCCTTTATCTGGGTACAGCATGGGGACAGAACCCGAGATCTGGATTTGCTGTGATAACATGCAAATCTAAAAGCTATGTTTGGTGCCTTTATAACCAGAATTACTGGAGGAGACAGAAAAACTAATGAAGGAAAAAATAGAAGTACAGCGTCAAGCTGAAAAAGAATATGGTGACCTTCAGAAGCAAGTTAAGGCTTTGGAAACAGACTTGGAGGAACAAGTCAACCGTTTTATAGAGCTGGAACAAGAAAAAAATGCAGAATTGATGGATCTAAGACAACAAAACCAGGCTTTGGAGAAGCAGCTTGAGAAAACAAGAAAATTTCTAGATGTAAGTACAATGAAAGAAAAAAAATATTTCATGTAGCAGGATGGTAACCTGTTCTGCATTTTTTTGCAACAGCAAGAAATTCTGTCTCTAAGGCTTTCAACAAAAAGTGGGGTGGGGAGTCTATTATTGGCTTTGTAACATGGTGTCAAGTCAGTGGATCCACATGGTGTGCTGTGTTTTAAAAGCAATTTAAAAGCAATCTCAATGCAATTTAATACGTTGGCTGGGAAACTTATTTTTTTAATTATTGATAGTTTAAAAATTTTCTCAATTAAAAAAAAGATCTAGAAATTTCTAAAATTAACCAGGAAAGTCAGTATTTCGAGTTCCCGCTAACTTTCTGGCAAGCTGTGTTGTGTTCTCCAGTGTATAGCAGGTTAAGTTGAGATTTTCAAAGTAGGCAAATAAGGTTCCCAACTCCCATTGAACTTCAGTAGAAGTTGAACATCTATCTCTATTAGACTGCTTTGAAAATTCCAACTATGAGCCTTTCGTTGGTTTGGGTACACGGAAATTTCCCTGGCAGCCTTTCCAAAGTTGCTTGCTTTATTCCTTTTCCATCTGCTTCGCATGCATCTGAAATCATTCCATCTTCTAAGTTTCACTTGCTGCATACTCCGAGTAGCAGCCGCAGCTATATTTCCTTCCATTCATCATACCTTCCTTTGCCCTGCCACCAAGTTGTCACTGCAGCGTTCTGAGCAGGCTTATGTTCAAACTATATTCCAGCTCACATTTCATCCATTTTCAACTTTTTTTGTTGCAATAATTCATGCAGTTTTTGCACTGTCAGGTAGGTATGATAGCAGGCTGCAGACATCTGACCTTCAAAGATAGTTTGAAGACTGAAGCTTATTCAAATGAGGGAAATTGACTGGGATGTATTGGACTGATATAATACTCTACCACTTCAGTTCTGTGATGGGGGTCATATCCAGATTTTTAGTTTCTATAGACACAATTGCATTCTCCCAGTAGAAAAAAAGTGTACAGATTAGCAGCAGGTCTTCTTGAGTTTTCTGAGTTCTCTAACTTTCCACCCAATCTATACCCTATATTTATAGATGGCTTATTCTGATATTCTAGTAAATATTCTCTGATTTATTTAAATTTGTTTCACTGAAACTTTTGGAGCTGGACTCAACCAGTTTTCTTGTGAATGTGAAAGGTATCAGTTAGTTAGGACTTATGGTTCTGTGAAAGTTACACTTCTGGAAGGAAGGATTTCTTATCTTCCTTTATCATTACGGAATATTGCTTGCCACAACCCTGTTTTTCTCTTCCCCAAAATTTATGGTCTTCCCTAAAGAAGGCTGCTTTTTATCTTATCTTTTAACTTATCTAGATACATAAAAAGATATCTATTACAGCAAAAGAGCATCTAATACATTTGGTTACATCCATTACTATAAGTTAAAGCCATGACACAGTAGATTTGGAATATTTAACATATGGCCTTACCTTATAATGTCTCTTTTTGGGCCTTGTGGTCTTTTTAATTGGATCTCATTACTGGTTTAGCTGAGCATGTTGATGGCTTCTTTCATTTGCTGAAAAAGCTGGTTGTCATGTCTGTACAGGTGCATTTTATAGCCACTCAGAAATGGGGTTTTGGGCCTTCTGTTTAGCCATACCTCTGCAGTTTGACTTAATCCCTTTGAAAATGGCCAAGGAATTGGGAGCCTTGATGCAGCAGCTAAGTGCTCCACCCCTCTCCATGCACTCCTTCAGGTCAGCTCTCAGGAGTGCAAGGACTGGAGCTATTGTCTTGTAGGTAAGAAATGGGAAGGTTCCCACCATGGAAGAATGTCCTCCTCCTGCCAATCAGCTCATCGGCAGAATGGTGAGGGAGGGACATTCTCCCAGGGCTGGAACCTCCCTGGGGCTGTCTGTGTTACCTGCTGCTTTTCAGCAGCTGTCAATTGCCACTTGACAGCCTGCCCCCATCCAAAGCAGGAGAGGGCTGGCTGTCAGTTAATGGACTTCCCTAAAGATGGTTATGGCCCAGGGAGCAGCCCTGTAGTGCCCTCTGGCTGGAAAGCTTGCCTATGTAGCTCTCCAGCCATGGGGCTAGAGAAAAATCTGTACAATCCAGCTCCCGGGGTATTTTTCAATCAGAAGAAATCTTCTGGTAAAAATGAATGTCTGTATGCAGCCAAAGTCTATGTGCCACTGGATCCACAACTGTACAGATCTAGATGCCAGAATCACTGCAGAGAAAGAGACAGAGTACCAGTGTTTCTATGCTAACCCACAGACTGGATAAAGCAGCACAGAAGATTTGCATAGAAGCTTTCCATCCTGCCTGGAAGTTCGAGACAGGTGGGTTTTATGCCATTAGTTAGACCTTCACAACAACGAGTTACTGCTGCCATGTGTAGGGATGAGTGAAATTTATATTGGATGGATTATGTTATCCAATTATATTGAGCATTTTGTGATGCTTCTTCAGCATAATTTATTAAGCAGTGTTAACTAAAGGACCTCTTCAGTCTCTTTTTATCACTTACTTGTACTTGGCTTTGTCATATAATTTTGTATACTTCCGAAATTGTTGTTCTACTAAAAATATATATAAGTTTCCCTCACTTTTTGCTGTACATGCACTCCTGGAAAAGGGCACATAACTTGAATTCACATAAAGGGAATCCACTTTACAATGTAACAAATAGGGATACATTCCAGGACCTTGACTGTACCCCAGACCCATTTCTACCATTTTTACAAGGCAATTTTGGTACTTACCAACAGCAAACAGTACACACAAGCACAGGGCACTATCATAATGGGGATGGCAACTACAGAAACACATCGCAGACAGCAAGCAAGGAGCACAGACCTACATAACAGACTATATGTTAGTTTGCGTCACTCCCACAATATACCACACAAAGCAGCTGACTGTGGGCTTCCACCTCACCAATCACGCAAGACTGAATTTACCTCACATATACTGAATTTTTGGTATTAAAAGGGTCATTGAATAAGAGCGGATTCGCACATATAGAGCCTGCATAAAGTGAGGGAAAACTGTTTGTTCTTTTTCTTTTCCAGGGCTTGGAATTAGCAGCTCATGTAAAACTCATCTCCATAACTTAATTACAATTTGGTTACCCTCAAATTGCAGCTGTTGATATTGCTTGATCAGAATGCAGATATGCAGATAAAGCCTATAACAGCATTACATTTTCTGGTGGTACTTCACTAGTAGGCTAGAAGTGAGTACTTTATATCAACAGTTAGTGGAGGTTGATGCTGTATCTCAGTTCATTTGACTTCTCTAAAATACTTTGTTTTTGTGCTAATCTGGCATGAAAAATAGGAAAAAAAATAAATACTCTGCTGCAGTGCATTAAAAATTTTACAAATGTCAGGTAGTGTGTCTTGAACAAGTTGAATTAATCAGTGTGAAAGGTGAATGAAAATTTGAGCTAATTTAGTGCTTTTAATCTGGCATTTGGAGTTGGTCCCGGGTTAATATTAGTTATGGTTATGGGCATATTCAGGGTTTAACTTCTACAGGCAAGTTTACATTAGTAAATACATTAAAAAGTAAAGTTTAGTCCTCTTGTTGGCTCAGTAGAGCAGTGTAAATAAAACAAAAGAAATAACTCTGATGTCAGTATCACAAAATAGTATTGGATCTACTTGTTTCTTTCTGATATTTCAAAAAGTAGCATCAAGTAAAGTGGGCTCCCAAAAGTGGAAAGATTCAAAATAGAAAATGGGACCATCTCGCCTAAAATCCACTGATATAATTAAGACAATAACATTTACCCAAAATAAGATGGCATATGTGTGATTTTGAATTTTGTAAAAACTTCTGTCTAAGTAACATTATTACAACTAAATTTCAGGAGCAGGCAATTGATAGAGAACATGAGAGAGATGTGTTCCAACAAGAGATAGAGAAACTGGAGCAACAGCTTAAGATTCCACAAAGATTTCAGCCTATCAGTGAGCATCAAACCAGAGAGGTAAGATTTTGAAGTATAATGCCCTTTCTGGATGTATATAACAAAATCAAATGACTGGGGGCACTGTAAAAAGAAAAAAATTCAAATTATTTCATAATAAAGAGAATCAGCCTCTTTTGCAAAGCAAGAAGGTAAATCTATAGATGAAGAATAAATGGGTTTTTGTTTTGGGAGGGGTTTTCTTTGTTTGTTTTTTGGGGGTGGGGTTTGAAACTAGAATCATACAGAGCATAGCTACTTTGGTGTAGTAGGTTTATTTGGAAAACTAAGGTAAATGAAAAATTTTGGAAAATATTGGTGCATGTCATCATTGTATCTAGTTAACCAGTATTTGTCTACATCATTATTTGGCCTAAGAATTGAAGCAGAGATGCATTGACATGTTTTTAACAGAAATTTCTGGTGCTCTTGTATTTTGCATGGGTCTAAGATGTTGTGGGTAGAATTTTAGGGCATTGAACTTATTATTTCAAATTATTTCCACCCATTTGCTGAGCCTGTCAAGGTCAGCCTGGATCGCCCCCCTGTCTTCAAGTGTGGATGCTTTGCTGAACAATATGGGTCCAAGGACAGAGCCTTGGGGGACCCCACTGGTCACAGGGCACCATGACGATTGACTTCCATCAATTGCCACCCTCTGGGTCCGACAACGGAGCCAATTCCCCAGCCAGTGGATCGTGGTGGACCCAAGGCCACAATTGGCCAGTTTCGCCAAGAGGTGATCATGGGATACCAGATCAAAGGCTTTTTTTGAAGTCAAGCTATATGACATCAATCTCTTCTCCCTTGCCCAGGTGATAGGCCACCTGGTCGTAGAAAGAAATGAGATTGGTCAAGCAAGACCTACCCGCAACAAACCCATGCTGGCTATCCCTCAGGATGTTGTTGTCAGCCAGTCCATTAAGGATGGCCTCTTTAATAAACTTTTCTAAGACCTTCCCCAGGATAGAAGTCAGGTTGGTGGGCCTATAGTTTGCCAGATCCACTGTCCTCCCCTTCTTGAAGATAGGCACCACATTGGCCTTCTTCCAGTCTTCGGGCACTACACCAGAGCGCCAGGAGTTCTCAAAGATCTGTGCCAGAGGGTGGGCTGTGATGCTCACCAGCTCCTTGAGGGCCAGCTGACTTGAAGTTATCCAGCCTCTCAAGGTGTTCCTTCACGAGGTCAGCATTGATGGAGAGCAGGGGTTCTCCCTCACCCGGACCTCCCTGTCCCGTAGTGGGCATGGGCGTCCCATGGGACTGATAAAAGACCGACAAAGTACCCATTTAATAGGTTGGCTTTTTCCTGGGCGTCAGTAGTCAGTTGTCCCATCTGGTTTAGCAGGGGTCCAATGTTGCCCTTGCTTTTCCTCCGGCTCCCCACATATCTGAAAAAGGACTTTTTATTGTCCTTGATACTCGGAGCTAGTTGGAGTTCAGTTGCAGCCTTGGCTTTCCTGGTTTGCTCCCTGCAGGACTGGACCAGTGCAGAATATTCCTCCTTGGAGGTGAATTCCATCCTCCATCATTTGTAGGCCTTTCTTTTTAGCCTCAGGAGGTCTGCTAGATCCCTGGAGAGCCAGTGGGGCTGCTGTGCCCTTGTGCTGCCTTTCCTCCGAGATGGAATAGAATTAGCTTGTGCACTGAGGATCACTCCCTTGAGGAGCAACCACTCTTCCTGAACTCCCCTCCCGCTGGAGTTGTGGTCCCTTCGGGACTTGCTCACAAGCCTCCTAGGCTTGTCAAAGTCGGCTTTCCTGAAGTCAAGGACTTCAGTGTTGCTGACTGACTTGCCAGCTTTACGGCAGATGGTGAAGGTGATCAGCTCGTGGTCACTGTCACCCAGCTGCCAACTATTGGCAGAGTTGACCTTAAAAGAAAAAAGCAAAACGGGTATATGGTTACATTAGAAAATATTTGCATCTTATGGTTGGTCTAGTGACACTGCAGGCAATTACAATTTTTTATTTTAGTGTGGGGGGGATGGGGAGAGTTGGTATTTACTATTCAGTGAGTGCTTCTGCACATTCATTAATGCACTTTGGGTAATGCACATTAAATCTAGTACCTCTAGGGACCTATACATGAGCACTGAGGCTGCCCCGACACTGTGGAATTCCTGTGCTTTGTAGCAGATTCGATTAACTGAATCTGCTGAAGCGTGGTGGTTACTGCACTCCAGCAGCCTCCTGCACCATGTGTATCAACGTCTGCACTTAAAAATGGTGGCGGGGGTGCTTGAACTAAAGCTAGTCAAAAGAGCTTTAGTTCAAGTGCCTCTGCCGCTATTTTCAAGTGTGGGGACACTGATACAGGAGACGCAATGGTACTTTAATTAGAGCAGCTGTCAGAGCCGCTTTAGTTGAAGCGCTGCCCCCCACCCCCAGAGCATGTGTAAAAGTGCTTTCCATTGTGAGGTACTAGAAAAATGCACTTTAGCCTATTTTAATGCACATTAGCTAAAGAGCATGGGTTTTTTGTGATGCTTTAGTACACTTTAAAATAAGCTAATGCACATTACAGCGAATGTTGTAAATGCACCCAATGTGATAAATATTTTTTGTTCCAATTATTTTTCTAACTTAATGTAAATATTTCTGGTTTTGACTGTTCCAAAACTAGCACACTAAGTAGCTTGGCAAAATAATTCAAGATATTTTTCTTAAATACTAATAATATTTTATAGATTTTAGTAATTGTATAAAATCTGATGAGGGAGATTCAATAATTAGGAAGAAATAAACAATATAAGATGCAGCTTTTCAAGATACTTGTTTACAAAGTGCTGATTAATCCTTTAGGAGGAATTTTTTAACATAAGATATATTTAGTAAAAGACAAGTTAAATCTATGTCTTTGGTGTTCTGTAGGCTTCTGTTCTTCCCTCTCTTTTTTTTTTTTGCAATATATTAATAGATTAAGTATTTGTGATTGGATACTTGTAATCACGTAAAACAAGTTTGTTTTGTAACTTTATAGTTAAGGCTTGTATAGGTCCCCAAAGTTTGTGTTAATATCTTCTACTTTGAACTCCTGCTTAATTTTACCAGTATACATGGTGATTATCACTCATCAGTTAAAGGCCCAGTTGTTCTTTTATACATTACTATAGGTTCTAAGAATTCTGGTGAGATCCTTTCTCAATATTTGTATAATGATTTATTGCAAGAGGACTGCTGCAATGAATTGTTCGATAATTGGTGCTACTGAATAAAAAGCAAGAAATTCTGTATGTATCTATGCATAATCTGAGACATTACAACATTTAATTGGTACCAAGAATGTTAATTACGTTCTAAGAAGGTACTGGTACAAGCAGTTACAGGATTGCAAGTAAGAAATAGTGCTAGTGGTAGCACTAGTACAAAACGTAAGATTTATTTGATGCATAGAAGTAATCAAGCATTTGTGTTCACTCATAAGCTTTGAAAAGCATAGATTGCATATAAAGAACTTTTAAGCAGAAATTTCTCTTAAACTTTACAGAACTTGTCACTGAACATGATGACAGACGGGTAGCATTTGCTTTTGCAAGTTGCATGTGCCATAAAGTTCTGGGATGTGACTGCCATCAATATGGATAAATGAATAAATCTTTATCCATCGAACAGGCAAGGACACGGGGAAGCCAATCCAGAGGCAGGAGTGTTGTATCCATTTTCTAGTTTTCCTGCAGTACAGGTGGTCTTTTCAAGCTGACATTATAAAATTGGATAAAAATAGGAACTTCTACTATGATATTCTGGGTGGGTGACAGTGGTACTGCTACAGTATAAAAATGGTTGGCAGAATGCAGGGTAGACATGCGTCTTATAGATTAAATGAATCTTAGATGCATGAGCTTTCATGAGCAAGCATTCGCTTCATCAAAGGTTTTGAAAGGACATGCAGAGAACAAACTATCACACAGAGAGAGTGATTCGAATACAAATGACAAGAAAAGGAGGGAGGTGGGGAATTGCGGGAGGGGAACAATTCTGAGAGACAGAGTAATAAACCCAAAGGGACATGAGGGTCAAAAAGGCTAATCCAGGGAATGAGATAAGAATCTGTAGTCCCTGTTTTTACTTAACACAATCCAGTCTCTGGATGATTTCTTTTTCCTCAGTTTTGTCTTCAAGTCAGCTTTCAAGTTCTGTTGTTTAAGAATGAGGTCAGTAATGGAGTGCCTGGGAAGGTTGAAGTGTTCCACCACAGGGTTTGTTGTGTTTCTTGATGTGATGTCGATTCGGTGTTCCCTCGTTCTTTTGTGTAAGGATTGCCCCATTTGGCCAGTATAAACAGCAGAGGGCACTGTAACCAGGTGATGGGATGATGTTAGCAGAGGAGCAGGTGAATGAACTTGGGATGTTATAAGCCGTGTTATTTGGTGCATTCATGATGTGGTCTTTGAGGGGCACAGCTTATACCTAGGTCTGTTGCAAGGCCTGGTAGCCTTTTGCTAGAGACACTGAGGTTGGGGGAAAATCTGTAAGCCAGGGCAAGTTTGTTCTCCATTGCTGCCTTGTAATGGTGGTCATATTAAAGGAGGGATTGGAGGTCATTAATAATGGCTGCTTTTGCAGACATGAAGAACAAACAGTGCTTTACTTTCAACTCGGCATGCCCCCGTGCCGAGCACAGAACATGCCCAGAAGAGGCATCATGTTAGTTTGACCCAGCTCCAACATCTGTATAGATCAGGCGATTTCACCAGGGCTTTTTTGGCACTCTTATCTAATAGCTAGAGATCTCTGGAATTTGCTCCAGAAGTGTGCAACTCAGCCAATTCTTTAATCTTGGAGTTTCCCCTGTGTATCCCCCGCCTCATTGCTGATTGGTGGAGGATCCCTGCTTTCCACACCTGATGGCCAAAGGGCAAAAATTGTGGCATAGTTAAAACTATGGTTTTAAACATGATTGGCAAAGGGGCCCCAAATTACCAGGTGCAGGCAGCAAGTGTTGGGGCCCCTCTGCCAATCAGTGGCGGGGAGGGACGCGGGGGGGAAATTCCAAGATTAAAGAAGCTGCCGTGTCATGCATTTCCAGTGCAAAGTCCAGGGATCCTTACTAATAGCTGATTGAATCAGCTTTAGATAAAAGCACCAAAAAGCTCCACCGAGGTACCCAATCTATACAGATGCTTGTGAGCTGGGTCAAACTAACATGCTTCCTCTTCCAATAAAGCACTGTTTTTGATTTGTTGGGTCTTTTGCACTGCCAGTGGCCAGTGTGTCCCACAATGTTTAAGTTGGGGACTGTAGGTGACTACCAGAGGGATTCTGTTGGCCTTATCTTGGGGTTGGTATTATAGCAGGTTGGACTTGGATCTGAGTCTGATTTGAGTGGCTATGGTTTTGGTATTGTAGGTGTAGGGGAATCCCTGCTCTAGATACTTAATAGGGGTGTGCAAAGCGGGCCCTATTTGATATGGATTTGGCCCAAATCAGGGACAGTGATTCGATTCATTGATTTGGATCAGTGCCCCTGATTCAATTCAGCCAAATCCAAATCTGAAGATTTAAATGTTTTTCTCTACATACCTGAGGTACTAGCATGGTTTATAAACGCTGCGATGCTGGGGTGCATGGAGCACGTCCCACAGGAGTGCAGAGGGGCCCTACATATGCTTGGCAACAAACCTGGAAGTAGACTGGAAGTACTTCCGATCCACTTCTGGGTCTGCCAGGAGCGCACAGGGGCGGGGGGCCCTGCACACCCCTAGCTCAGCAGTCGGCCACAGGAGGACCCCGGGTGCCCTCCCCGGCTCCCATGCTTCTGTGAGATGTTCCACGTGCCCCAGCATCGCAGCATTCATGAGCTGCCTGCCACCTAGAGGTATGTAGAAAAAACATTTAAAGCCGTGTCTATGTACGAATCGCTGAATCTTTCCAAATCTGTCCAAATCGATTCAGAGGGTTCCAATTCAATTCAAAGAGATTAAAGGGTCTCCTGATTCAATTCAGCCACTGAATCAGGCTGAATCTCTGCCAAATCGAATTGGGGACTGAAGCTTTGCACAGCCCTAATAATTAAGGTGTGCATCCTGGTTGGTGGAATCAGAGCACATACAGTTGTAATGTAGAGTTTGGCTGTAAACAGTAAGTCTGGTGGTGTGCTTAGGGCAAAAGCTAGTGGTATGGTTTGTTCAGTGAACTGAGTGGTGGTAATTGGAGCTGTAGTAATTAGGGCTGTGTGTAGCTTCAGGTGCTGATTTGATTTGGAGGAGATTCAGCCCAATTCGGTGACTGAATCTCTGAATCCAAATCGAATCGGGACCAATTACAAAAGGTCTGAATTGATTCAGAGTTCTCCAAATCGATTCAGAAAAGATTCAGAGAGCTTTGTTGATTCAGGCAGTCCCTGCCTGCTACAGTAGGGAGCTGGACCCAGACTCCGAGCTGGTAAGTACGGGGTGGGGGAGGGGAGGCTGGAGTAGGAGGGGGGACCTTGGGGGGACCCCTGCCAGGCCCCAGCCCCCCTGAGTGCCCTTGCATGGCAGTCCCACCTGGCCCCAGCTCTTGGCCCATTAAAAAAAAAAAGCCCCCACTCACCAGGTGCTGCTGAGCATGGGGGCAATCCCCCGCCTGCCTAACAGGGACTCCCCCCCCCCGAAGTGCCAGGAGCTGGAGCAGGCGAGATGGCCATTGCTGGGGCTGGGAGAGTGGGGGAGGGGGAGGGGGCCTTTGTGATTCAGAGATCTGGCTGATTCAGCAACAGCCAAATCTCCGAATCAGATTTGGCCGAATTGAATCGCTGTCTCCCAAATCAGCCGAATCCAAAGTGAATGCTACCTGCTTTGCACAGGCCGAGTAGTAATCTGTAACTTAATGGAAAAATTCAGAAGCAGGCAGCTAGCAGTCATATTTCTAGTTTGCTGGTGGAAAAAAAATGCTCCTTTTAAAAATATTATGTAGTAGAACCTGGATATTTTGCATTGCGGGGGCTTGCAACCCATTTAATTTACAGCAGATTACTGAATTCAAGAGGAGGCAAGCAACTGACTTAAGTAAAAACTACAGCAAAAGATTCAGCTTCTCCACTCAGCTGAAGCACCAGAGTAGTCCCACACAGATGACTGGAAAACCGCATCCTTTGAAATAAGTTTCAGCAAAAGCAGTCTCACCTAACATTGCTGTGGTTCTGTATATCCTGACAAGTACACAAATCCTCATCTTTGCAGGGAGCTAAGGAATCTGGGTTTTACTGTAATACACCCATGGATCTATCACAATATGTAGCTGGAAAAGATGCTGGAGTTGAGATAAAAATTAAGGCAATCAACAAAAAAAAAAGTCCCAAGATGTAGGCACTTTTAATCAGAAGAGTGTCTTATATGATTTTTAAAAGCTGTAGTTAGAAGTACAAATCATTTGTGTCCACTGGAAATTGTAATGGGAAACTTTTTGGTAATGTTACAAGTAAGAAGAATAGAGCTGTCTGTGTTGTAAATGAGCTTAAAATAAAGAAATGTCCCAGTGTTGTTAAAAGTAGTGGTTGTGAAGAAATCACTGAAAGAAAGCATGCATTCATAAAAAAACAAAAAAAAACATTCAATAGATAATGGGACCCCAAGCCACAGAGACTAACAGAATGATTGTTATGACAGAATCAAAGACCAAATAATCTTATATACTACTATCTAAACATATCATAGAGCATAGAAAAGTAGAGCTGGAAGAGACCTCAGAAGGTCATCTAATCCATCCCCCTGCTTAAGGCAAGATCATCTCTGACTAAATCATCCCAGCTAAATAACATCATGTTTTGGGGTTAAAAATTCTGTCAGTGAATGTGACAGACTAAGATCTAATAAGATAAAAGTTCTTTTATAATGAAATTGAATCAGTAAGCTTGATTCTTCTATTTTATTGCATAGAAAATGTGATAATTTTTTGTAAAAAAGAGGCTTATTCTGCTCTTGTTATAACTGAGATACTGCATTATACTAATCAGTTTGTGAAACATTGTTCTGCTGTCCATGACTGCCTTTTATATTATTAACTTTTATCTTTTTCTGTCATTCTGTTGTTTCTACAAGAATGGAATATTTAAAATACTCTCCTATATTCACTTCTCTTTTCCCTTTATCTGTTCCCCCTGGGATGTCCAACTGGTGGCCTCTGATTTTAACAGATGAGATCTAGTTCTGCAGTTCTCTCAACTGTGGTCTATTATCCCTCTATTTCCTATTTTTCAAATTGTTTTAACACTAACTCTAAACTACCCCATAACTTCCTCTGCTAAATACTGAAAAGTAAATGTTGAATTTATCTGTCCCATGTCTCTTACTATTACACTCTGTTTAACTTTGTGCTCAGTTATCCTGATCATGTTATCCTTACATCTCCTTTATCTCACAAATCTCATCTCTCAAAGGTTATGAGAACTGGGCCTAGATCATTCCTGATGAAAGCTTCACTTGTCTTATTTCCTTCCCATCTTGACTACTGTTCTTGAGCCTAAATGTCTGAAATTAAGGAGATTACGAAAACTTTGCTATCTTCAGCTCTTAAAAACCTAGGCAAGGAGGTTTTATATCTGTATAACTTGAATGTAAAAGTAGTAAAGTTACACACATAAGCTGGTATGTTTTTAAAGTATGGAAATGCATGGTTGCATTTACCCAGACAACTTTACCTCAGCATCATAGCAACACCCACATCTCATCTTTTATTTTTGCCAACTATATTTGGTTCCAGGATTCTTGCCATATGTACTTTCTTAGAGCTGAAAGCATACCAGAGCTGTAGGTATTCAACTTGTTCCCCAAGATTGAGATACCTCTTCCTTGGATGTTGTAATGATGCCTCCCACTGTTGGGCTATATAGAACATCAAGCTATCATGCCATCATGTCTTTAACTGACTAAGAAGTCTGAGACTCTTCCAAAGGACAGGTAAGTTTTAGGGTTTAGCAGATTGGACTGCACAGGACACAATTCATCAGTAACTTTATATTTATTGGATATGGAGTTACAGGACTTTAATCCTGTGTTCTTTTTCATCAAGGAGATGAAGATTTATAAACAGAAGGAATATTTTCCCCATCAAACATCTATGTTGTTTAGTAATGCTAAAAACCCATTCCAGTATGATACAGTACATTCACCTTACTTCCGTATTATCTCCAGGTTGAACAGTTAACAAACCATCTAAAAGAAAAGACAGACAAATGTAGTGAACTTTTACTCTCTAAGGAGCAACTTCAGAGAGATATACAAGAACGGAATGAAGAAATTGAGAAACTTGAATGCAGAATAAGAGAACTGGAACAAGCTTTAATTATCAGTGCAGACAAACTGCAAAAGGTATTTTTTTTTGTAAAAATGCCTTATTTCTTTTTCTATTTCATTTATCTAAGAACAAGGTAATGTTTGTTCAATTTGTAATAAATAAAAAAAGACAAAGTAGCTAATAGTATATTATATGATATCTAGTAAAAGGTATTGCATCTACCCAAAGAACCTTGCCTAGGTAATAGTATAATGCTTATTTAAAGGTTGAGGAAAGGAAGCAGTTTGGAGCTGCCAAAGTAAAAGGAGAATTGCCCCTTGAAGTACAGTTGCAGGCTGAACAAGAAGCTGTTGACAGAAAGGAAAAAGAGGTATGCTTGCTTTTTGCTTTAAGTTATTATCAGTGATTTTTCTTCTGAGGCCAGCTCAATGAAGTCATCTCCTATAAGCTGAGCAGGTACAAGCATATACACTTGTGAAGAGAATGCTAAGTCCCTGACTCACATTACAATTATTGTGCAATTAACTAGTTAACTGCACAATAAATTTAGACATGCTACACATGCAAAGTAACTATTGCACAATAAGAGTGGCCAAGCAGTCAAAAAAACAGCCAGCCAGGCATAAAGATGTTACTTGAAAAATGTAGAATATCTTTGTAGCTGGTTTCTTTCAAGCTTTAATGTGAACATGTGGCGTGTCACTACACAGAGTGATAGTGTTCAGCCAAGTCTTCCAGCATCTGAGGGTGCTGAACTGCTCGCTCACAATTGCTCGCATGCTCTTGCTCTTCCACCCCCCTCCCCCTGCCCTTCCTGCAAGAGATGTCTCTGATTCCTGGTGAACTTGGCTGCCTCAGGTACCTCAGCAGGAGATCTTATGACTCATGTCCCCACCTCCCTTTTTCCGACCAGTGTTCAAAGCTGCTCCTTTAAGGAGTCCTTAGCATCTCTTTCCTGAGAGAAGCAAATTGTTCATTGACACTCAAGGCAACATGCTTTACTTGCATACAATAGTAATCCATGAGAAGGAGAGGGAATTGGTTTGGAAAGCTGCTGGTGGGGACAAGATGGGGAGAGAGAGAAAGCACAAACACATAAGCACCTTGTAAGATATTTTGGAATAATTCGAGCCCCTTTTCTCCCTTCTCTCCATCTCTTCACCCCCTTCCTGTACTAGGTCTCCCCTGTTCTGTACTAGGGCTAAGGGAGCAGCTCCTTCATCCAGAGAGAGCTCAGAACTCACTTCTCATTAACAGCATGTTAGCTGCTCATTAGCATGTTGAATGGGGGGAAAAAAAACTTCCTTGGATTTAAGTATATGTGGTTATTTTATGGTAAGCAGAATGGATTTAGGGAAGTCCTAAAAAGAAGAATGAGTGAATATTGTCCACAGTCTGATGCCTAAAATCCTCTTTTGTTTATTAAAAAAAAGAAAAAAGGGAGAATCAAATAGTATTTCAATGGAGATTATAGAAGTATTCATCCTGAATAGAAGAATATTGGGCCATAGCCTCATAACACTGATATTGAAGTCAGTAGAGTTACTTTAGATTTATGTGAAGTAAATGGAATTTGAATTCATCTTATCTAGTCTAACAGGGATACAGTCAGATGAGGTAGGTGTAACAATGCATGGAGCTCTATAAAATGTGGCCCTCATTACTTTTGCTTATGATCATTTCAATTTTTGCTTCATTTACTTTGGATATATAGATCACAAACCTTGAAGAACAATTGGAGCAGTTTCGAGAGGAATTAGAAAACAAAAATGAAGAAGTTCAGCAGTTGCACATGCAATTAGAAATCCAGAGAAAGGAATCCACTACACGGCTGCAAGAACTTGAGCAAGAGAATAAATTATTTAAGGTAATTATCAAGGTAATGGAAGGAGATTTCACAAGATAGGAGAAGATGGAAGGTTGTAGTTAAGGCAGTTATAGGCCCTTGAGGCTTGTGAAAGAGCGAGAATTATCAAGCAAGTCTATCATTTCATACCCATTCACCCTCAGTGAATTCTCCTGTAAAACCGAGATCCAAAACTTAATGTCTCAAGTGTTTTTTCCAATCAACTTACAAAATATTAAAATTTTCATATAGCCATTCTTTATTTTGCGTAATCTTTATTTTTCAACTCCTAGAATTTAAATAATCAATTAATTGGATATTCTGGAAAAGATGCATAAATTATACCACATCTATGCTTTGACTTTTTTGGTAGGATGAAATGGAAAGATTGGGACTAGCTATCCAGAAATCTGAAAATACATCCATTAAAGATCATCATCTAGGTGCTGGGAAACTTGTTCAATTTGTGCAGGAAAAGGAGCAGAAAATAGATCATCTTAATGAACACATTTCAGAACTACAAGAACAACTTGAAAACACAACAGATAACAAAGTACAGTCTTTGGAAATCTTTTGCAGTGTTAGTTTGTTTCTAGCTGTTACAGAAAAGCAATCTGATGAAGGCATTCATAGATATCTTGTATAAAATTGGGAGTGTTCCACTCAAAACAGTGCTCAGAACAGCTGTTTAAATACCGTATTTCTCTCTCTAAATACTGTTTAACTCCTGATCCTCCAGATGCCTGTTAGTGTTTATCAGGATGTGGGCACCTGAGTTGTATCTGTGTGTTAATTAAATTCATTTTTCTATTATGAGCAATGAAATATAATGAAAGATGTACACTAGGTTGACTTCTGGTGCCACCTGCTGGATAAAATCAATCATCAGAGTTCACTCTTTTAAAACTGTTGAAGCTGTGAACTGAGGAAATGTAAATACATCCTTGTCGGTCACTAAAGCCCACCCTCTCCAATTACAATTTAACTTATGCTGGATGTACAAGCATTGCAAGCAAGAAACTTGAAGCAATATATTAAAAATAGAAGATGGATTCGCTCACTTTCCAATATTTACATGCCTTACTAGTTACAGCTTTGAGCTGTTTCCTAAATTTTTATTTTCCTGTACAGTAGATAGTGATGCAAATTCTCCTTTGGCTTTGTGTCCAATTTACACTAGACACTAGGTGAGGAGAGAAGTTCTCAGATGTCACGTAGAAAGCAAATTGAATAATTTATTGTGGTGACATTTTACCTCATGTTTTAATAGTTGTAAACATTTATTTTTGCATAAAATTTAATGATTATTTTTATCTACAAAGACAAATGTCCTACCAAGAAGCCCATCAGTTAAGTGCTGACAAGCAGCGATGCCTAGGGCTGTGTGAACTTCCGTTGACTTCCATTTCAACGTTTTGATGGAACAGTGTTTTGTTTTGAGTTTGGTTTAGTTTCAAAAGCACTGTTCCGTTTCATTTTGTCAAAACTGTTTTGATGTTTCACCCATAAGCTATTCCTTACCCAGCACTGGGAAGACCAGTGCTGCTGGTAGCACCAGCTTCCTGTCATCCAGCAGGCAGATTGGGGGCCCGCACCCCTGGGAGAAGTCCAGCACAACCCCCGCAGACCCCCTGGGGGTGCAGGTGAGCCCCTGGTCTGCCTGCCAGATGACAGGAGGCTGGGGCCAGCAGCAGCACTGATCTTCCTGGCATGGGCCGTGCCCCCAGCCGGCAGCACCAGTCTCCTGTGATCCGGCAGGCAGATCAGGGGCCCTGCACTCCTGGGAGGAGTCAACAGAGCCCTATAGCCCTCCAGGGGGTGCAGCGGGCCCCCTGATCGGCCTGCCAGATCACAGGAGGCTGCTCCTGCCTCCTGGGACAGCACTGTACGAAGCCTGCACCCAGCTCTGGGAAGATAGGTGCTGCTGCCAGCCCCAGGTGACAGCACCTGCCACCTGTAATCAGACAGGCGGATTGGGGGCCTGCCTGCACCCCGGGAGGGCTGCAGGGGCTGTGCCAGAATGCTCTCAGGGGTGTGGACCCCTGATCTGCCTGCCGGATGACAGGA